GTTGAGCTGAGAGTCCTGTGCACTTCTACATAGAAACGATCGTAGGGTACTTGACGCCACACTTGTCGCATACTCTAGCCACATATAGCCACACTATCAAGCACTACAGCCACACTGTCAGGCACTGCAGCCACACACATACAAGCAAAAATACTGTATACGCGATAAAAACTTTACAATATAAGCTATTATAATGCAACCAGGCTTATCTGATGCGCAATTGAAAGCGCTATCGAACAAGCCTAGTTGTACTAGTATATATACTGTTGTTGTTGTTAAAATATTTAAGTTTTAAACCTGTTGGTACGCGGTAGGGCGAAAGTGTAGAATATGCAACCAAAGTGGCATTGTTATTAGGGGCACAAGTACTCTGCGATTGTTTTTATGTGCAAGTGCACGGGACTCTCAGCTTAACAGGGGTGACCTAATATCAAAGTCTGCTTTCTGAATTAGGCCCTGTTGGTTGTATTATCTATTGGTTAAAAGGTCTCTTTTACCGCACTCTTGCTTTATCAACCGGTTAAAAGCATAAATACTAAAGAACATGAAACAAAGCGAGGTTAAGCGCGCTGCCATTGTTACCAATAAAGTATATAATAATCGATTACTAACAAAATATGCCCACATGGTATCACATCACATCACCTCACACTGCACCGCATAACATCGCATCACTTGTTGTTGATTAGTAATGATGGCAGCTACCGAAAACATTAGCGCGGCCGGCGGCAGCACTACAACCGCCAACAATTCCGACAGCATCAACCTCAGCGGGCATTCTCTCCATGCAGTCGTGGCGCGCAACAAGTCGCTCTGGCGGCCACCACAATTCTGGACCCAGAACCATCTCAAGGCATTATCCTGTCTTGTCCTCCATCACCACCACTATGACAACAATGATAATGACAATGACAATAACGATGGTTTTTGTTTTGCTACACACAACAACGCACGCCATCAGCACGCCCTCATCCCCTACCTCACCCAGAAGCACTTAGACTGCCTCATCAAGACATTGGCCGGAGCTATCCCCTGCCAATTTAAGGCTATCGCTTTGAACTGGATGCTGGTATTCCCGGATCCAAATCAGCGCTTCAACAACAACGATGATAATGTCAAGGCCGCCATCCCTTTCTCAAAATACACCCCATACAACCTCACCTTGACTGTTGGACAACGCCAATATCCGCTTCCTGAATTGTTCAAATTCCATCTCGGCCCTTCTGTAGTGCTGCTTTACCTCGACTCTTGTCAGATTGCTCAACCACTACGTCGTTTTGAACGCAGCCAGCAATCCTATGAGCCTTGTATTGCTGCTGCCTTAGTAGCCATGGCACAGGCACAGGCCAAGGCCAAAAGAAACACCACCACCACCAGCGGCGTAAAAGAAAACAGGCCGTTGTTGTCGGTAGTTATCGTGAGCATTCCTATTACTTACTATATCTATCCCCCTAAAATATATACATACACCTCCGCTCTAGCCATAATCAGAATCTTAATGCTAACTTACTCGCTTTTTTTTCTTTGGTAATCTAGACACAGCTGCTTTTTACGCATTGCGATGATGACCAAGGCATGCATGTCTATACTGCCTATATATCTCAACACTTGCTAGAGCGTTTCCAATATCCAAACAAATATCCGCTACTAACCCCCGAACAACGGCAGGAGCAAGAACAACAACAGCAACAACAACCCCTTCCTTTCTCTTTGTTTAATCTTAAACACGAATATGTACCATACACACCCAGTGATTCCTTTCGCCATCGTGTTTTGGCCGCTGTGTCCATTACCGCCACCATTATGCGAGACGACGACTGCTCTGCTACAAATCAGAGAAAACAGGAAAAAAGAAAAGCCGCAACCCAGTTGCACCACGAATCCGGCAGTGATAACAAAGACGACAACATGATCAAACATGTCAGAAAACGCCCACGTACCCCTTTTTCCAGTTTGGATCCAAATCGCGATTTACCATGATTCCCATCCGTTACTATTATCATGATTAAGCCAGCTTGGCTTGACGATTGGCCCTAGACCATCCATGGGCCACAGATCGTCACAGGACACTGGAACACTCTGCAATGAATGGGCCGCGGGACTGGGCTAGACTCTGGACTGTATACATAATATCCCTGCATATCAGGTAAACACACGCCAGTAGCACTCAATAACGTGAGTACACAATAAAACAATAGCACAAGTTTTTCCTGTTCCTAAAACAGTATATGTGCTGCAGCAGTAATAGCAAAATAAACAACACTCTTATTATTAATTTGCCATGGTGTCAACACTCTCCTGCCCGTTTACCACTGCCGAATCTATTGTCAGTCTTAAATTGTTCATAACCTCTCTTTATTCAACCTGCAAACTATTACTACTCCGAGTGAAACTCCGTGCGTTCTTAGTAAACCACCCCAAACGGGATCCAGTAGGCTTACTCAATAGTAGACTACAAATCTAGTCTTCAGGTGGTTGTCATGTTAATGTACATGCCTAGGGAGGCTAGGCTCCCACTGATCATTCCAGTCCCATAAAGATCCCTCCGGCAGAAGCTACACAACACCATCTCCCTCTGTGGATCCCTATTCAATAGAATCAATAAAACCTGAATGAGAACTGAGTAAACAATGGCCTGGGGACCTAGCTCCACCTGCAATGCCATTCACTGTATGCTAGCCCTATAAAAGTGTACCGCACTATAAGAAGCCTTCCCACTAGACTCTTCCTATTACTTGAGCATCAGATCTATAGCTTACAACATACTAGGTTACGGATCATACTCTTCGGTGGTTATCTTGAAGGCACATCTCTTCTATCCCTCGTATTCTGCGCGCAATGGCATCTTCACGCCAGGCCGTCCCCTACTTTACCAGAGTCACGGCGCCACACAAGCTAAAGGCGAATTATCTGGAGGATCTGCCTTTAGAACTTCCGGCCGCAAGTGATTGGACTGCTACAGAACTAAATGCGTTTCGAGTAGTTATAAAGAAAACCAACTACCTCATTCTTCCCCAATTAGACAGTGCTCTATCCGCCGTAGACAAGACCAAAAACCACGCGAAGGAGCTCAACTTGGATATAGATAATCCGACGCAGCTGGAAAAAAGATCCGACCGCTCCCTCGTGGCAGACTACAAGGGTACCGCTGACTTCTGGATCGCCTTAAAGAATATCCATTCTCACAAAAAGGAGCAGACCGGACCTCCTTTGGACCCCAGGGACAGCAAAGATAAGGATGCCAACACTACCTATCATGATAACCAAGAGGAGGAGCTAAAGGAGGAGCTAGAGGTAAAAGATCCAGAGACAGCAAACGATGAATATACCTTGCCCAGAATGCCTAGCGACCCTCTCCAACCACGATCAGAAGCAACAAAAAAACGACCAAGCAGTCCCCCCCGACAACAATCAACAACAGAAAAGCGACGTCGCAAACAAACCGATAACGGCCCTTTTACAGACAGCGGAAAGATGCGGGTTGGGTCTTCCAGCCCTACCGAGACAAACTCGCAGGAGTCCCAATATTCTAAAATCGACCCCCCTTTCATCTCATCTGATCCCCCCCCGAAGACGCTCCGCGAGGACCATACCACTTGTCTAGTCAACTCCTTTTTCCGCTATGTCCTTAACAGCGTCACCATCCAAGACGATAACGGCAACTACATCAACCGGCGCATAGTTGAAGTTCGTGGCCCCAAACAAAAAGAAGTTTACCTTCCCTCAAACACCGATACTGAACGCCGCTGGAGCATTACGGCCGAAGATGACGGCGGCATTGGCGTGCGTAAATCCGATGGGTTTATAAACAAAGAAGACGAAATTTTCTCTTACGCTTCTATGGTAGATTTTGGTTCATATGTTGCCATTTTCGAATCTAAGAAGGAGTTCCAAGAATTCGACAACAAAGATCAACCAATTATTTCGGATAAGTTGCTCGGCCAGATGACGGCCGAGGCGGTGGTAGGACGCATGGTGCAGCATAACGCTGGCTACCAACACCCGGAGTACGTCATCCTTTTTCCCCTCTCCCCTTTTCTCCCTTTCCTCACTGTCTACTCAAACACATGCATACGTTTCATCCAACCCGCCCTACAACCTACATCAGCCCAACATTCATTAGGATAGGTATATGATTATCAACTAAACCGTAACTAATTTTGCCCCGTTCATCTCAACAGCATCTTCGTAGTTACTGCAGCGCGTTTCTACCTGCGCTTTCTGCACTTCTCCATACCCTCTGATTACCTTTCCGACATCACGACCAACACGCCTAAAACAACACTCAATGTTACTACCACCCGATGGCTCGACATTAACGATCCTAAAGACCGGCAATATGCTGTTCGTAATGTTGTTAGATTGATGGCGCAGGGTTTAAAAATGCTAGGTGACTTATAACTAGACATCAGGGGTAAGCTAAGTTAGCTCAATCCCCAGGGCCAGAATATTATCAAGCAGTATAATGTTTGTATTTAGTTGTAGAGGTAGTGGAGACTGGCCCCTGACAAGCAGAGTTTGCTCAACAACAATAGACACACTGATGAACCTCTAATTGGCTGGCTCGCTTATTCTGAAACCTTGCACTTCAGAAAGTAGCCATGCTTATTAAACTTATATACATACACCCACATTCAGGTAAACTCGGACTCAAAATCATTGTACGATTGTCTTGTCAAGCTGGGTACAACGCAGGAAAAGAAGCTGATGATTGACATTATGTCACTGAGGGAGTCGTACGAGAGGAGAGAGATCTCTGAAGTACGATGGATTAACAGAAAGGACAACCCTGCGGATGCATTCACAAAGAAAACGCCGAATCAGGCTCTCGAGGCTCTCATATCAACAAACAGATTGATCGTACGAATAGAGGCGTTAGTAGACAGGCTATAGGCCACTACGTACAACAGCCCCTCCTACCAGAAACTTCCCCCTGTTTTACTTCCTTCTACGTACGTATATACTGTACAAAGGAGGTTAGCTTTCAACAAGCAATACAGGTCCTAGTGGTGTAGCAGTAACATCTACAGCTCCAACTGTAGGTCCTGGGTTCGAATCCCGGTTAGGGCATATGATTTAGAGCCAGGTGGTTCTAAGCCACCTGGTCCTAAATCATTTTTTTTTATTTCTTGTAGTATGTGTCACGGGCCTTTAAGTACGAATGGCAATGTATAGGTAGGTCCTGAATACTTGTTGACGCACGAGGAACCCTAACTACTACTTCTAATAGCTGGACATCTATATATAAACAGCCTCTTTGTTCTATACCTTAGAGGCGTGGGTATGTGGTCGTAGGTAGTCAAGATTGTGACAGTACGATGGTTGTTTATTTTCGATTTTTTTTTTTCGTGCAACGGCCAGTTGTAGCCAAAAAGAGAAAAGAGCCAGTGTTAGAATATTGGCGTTAGCTACAACTGTATGCTATAGTTCGTACGAGGGAGTATGCGTACTGCAGTCGTACGAACCTATACAGTCACGTGATTGCACACGTGATTGCGTACGTGACTAGTCACGTGCGCCCTTGTTCCCGCTTTGTACGCGGCCACAGCCGTTGCGGCCTTTCGTATGACTACTTTATGCATATATCATGCATAACACAACCTTTGGGTAAAAATGCAACGTTATCAAGGCGAGCTGCTTTGCTGGCGCATACGGCATGCTGAACGAAATCTCAGCATGGCAACACGAAGGCCTCTCTTTGGCGCTGCCGTCAGAAACCACGTCGCGATAATCCTATTGCCACTGTCACAATGGAGGTCTTTGGTACGGTAGCTAGCGCTTTAAGTGTAGCAGCTCTGTTTAATAACTGCGTCAGTTGTTTCGAGTACATCCAGCTAGGCCGCCACTTCGGTCGAGATTACAAACAATGCCAGCTCAAGCTAAACATTGCTAAAACCCGTCTAAGTTGATGGGGGCACAAGTACTCTGCAATCATGTCTCCCTAAACTAGATGGGTAATTTTATGTGCAAGTGCACGGGACTCTCAGCTCAACAGGAGTGACCCAATATCAGTTTATCTGTAGACTCCCTAGGAGCCGTAACATTTAGGTCTAAGTAAATCACTATGAACCAGTGACTGCTAGATTTACCGTTTGGTATCCTTACCCCCCTGGTATTCAGCCTTGCGCTTAGGGACCTTAATCGAGCTAAGGTCGTCCCAAGAGAAAACCAGGCCCTTCTTCATATTAGAAAAATCCTCCTTCGCACTGGGCTTCTTCTCTACCTGCACGCTCAGCCTATACATACGGTTTGTTATCTCGTCAACAAGGTAATCCATATCCGACTGGTGTTTCAGCTGATTTACGCCAAGGCCACACACTAGCCAGATCTGGCAGTGGCGCACGCACATTGCCCCCTTGACCTCCGCCACCGTGCCTATGAGGGGTTCTAAGACATCGTATCCCGCCGACCAATGCATCTTGTCGAGGGCTGCCTTCAGATCGGACGGGACGGCGGTCTCACAGGAACAGTCGGTTACGAACTGGAACGTGTCGGGTCTCACAGACACGGGCCTCGCACGTGCGCCAGGCACCGCGTCACTACTGTCTCCCGATTTAGTGAGGTCGGCCTTGGCGAGGGGGGACGACTGTTCGGCAGCCCGCCTGCCTACCTCGAACGACTCGACGGCCTTGTCGAATTCCGCGTCCTCGATAGGTGTCGGCGCCGACAGCTTGCTCACCAGGAATCCGTGCGGGCCGACCACCACCCGGGCGGCGGTCATCTCCTCGTCGGTCAGCTTGCGGTAGATGACGCCGTCGAGGCCGCTGATGTCGATCGTCTGCGTACCAGGGGTCCTCTGGATGCCCCGCCGACCCGTGGCCCCGGGCGCGATCCGGTGATACGTCTGAATGTTAGACAACGCTGCGGCAAGGGGATAGCTCAGGTTGTGGCGCGCCATCTGATTCCGCAGCGCGTTGAGAAAGTTGCGCGATTCCGACCGGATCAGGTGCTGGAACCGCGGGCCGGCTGCGCCGAGCGAGGTGAGCGATCTGACCGCCTCTGCTTTCCTGTTCCTGATCTTGTACCCTTCCCTCGCAATGGTGCGGCATATCTCGTTATGGGACTCGCCCACCCATTGCTTGAAGGTGCCATACTTGCCTCTCCACAGCTCCCTGTCCAGCGCCAGATCCCACAGGTAAGACACCCATATCTGAAAGTCCTCGAGACTGTCTTGATACCGTGCCACCTCTTGGAATATCTCCGTGATCGTCTCAGTCGGATTCTCTGCCCGATCTAGTATGCCGGTGACTTCCTCAACAGATAAGAAGCATATCTTGCCATCCTCTAACATGCTTATGATCTTGGGGGGAGCGGGGGGAGGAGTAGGGGTCGCCATCTTAGTAGTCTGGGTGTTCTGGGTCTGAGGGGTATGAGTCTGAGGGGTGTGAGTCTGAGGGGTGTTCTGGGTCTGAGGTGTCGAATGCTTCCGGTTCCGACGGGTTGTTTTTGGCGAGGGGACGGGTTCGCCCTTGTGAGAAGAACGGCTAGACCGAGGAGTGTCCATATTATCAAAAGCGATATGTAAAACGTGGTACGGGTTTAGTTTAAAGCGTATTACGCAAGTGTAGATATGATATATTCTCCTAATCTTATCTCATGTGTTTAAAATCAGGGAACTTATAGGCTGCCTAACCTGTAAAGTTTTTTGATGAAACTTGCAGTTAAAGACATGCAGGTATCTAGAAGACTATATTTTGCGTTTGCAACTAGGAGCAAGCACTAGAAGAACTACTGGGGAAGATGGTAGAAACGCTCTAGAATCTATGGCTTACTTATCCTGATAGTCAGGATAATAATTGGGCTACTTTGCCGCTAGATCTATATACCTAATACAAAGAAAAACTAACCCTTATGTCTTGCTAGAACCGCTTTGCTTATGCATTAGGATGATGTAAGTTGCTGTAAAAGACTCGCGAAATGTTGCAGGCACTGGGAGATGTACCTGTCTAGCTTAACGCGGGCTTGTTGATAGCAATTCCGAGCTGCGATCCATTGCTCTACAGGGGGGAAAGTCCGCTCTTTCTTGAGCTTTTGTATGGCAAAGGTGCGAAGCCCCGAATCAACACGGCCACACGCAGAATAGTACTCTTTAGCTAGTGTTTCCCGTGCCTGCTCCAAGCGGCCCAAGTAATCGGATAGCTCAACGATCGAGCTAATCGATACTGGATAGGAATCTATATAAAGCTGCCTAGGAGCTGTTGTCTCAAGAGCATCGAAAGCATCGTTGATAGATTGCATGATTGATTCTTGCTCTGGAGGCTCCTCTCCGCTGTGGGTGCCCTGGCGCATAGGGGGAGTAGATCCCAGAGGTTGGTAGGTGGGGACCTTGATGCGAGGGGCGATATTGGTGTGAGAAGGTGCACCGGCGATATAGGGGTCCTGAGCGGGGGGCGAGATACCAATACGAGGGGACACACTAGATTGTAAAGGCGCACTAATGTTTGGGGGAGTGTTGATGTAATAGGGTGGGCGAGCATCGGCTTGACTAGAAGGAAGAGCGTTGGTATGAGGCCGAGAAGTAGTATCCCAAACTTGAGGACGAGGGTCCGTCTGAACTTGAGGATGAGGGTCGCTCTGAACTTGGGGACGAGGGTCCGTCTGAACTTGAGGATGAGGGTCGCTCTGAACTTGGGGACGAGGACCACTCTGAGCTTGAGGACGAGGGTCCGTCTGAACTTGAGGACGAGGACTAGCCTGAACGTGAGGACGAGGACCAGCCACGGGGGCGTCGGTCTGGGCTTGAGGATAAGGATCAGTCTGAACTTGGGGACGAGGGTTAGTCTGAACCCAAGGAGGAGGACTAGCTACAGGGGCATCAGTCTGAACTTGAGGATAAGGATCAGCCTGAACTTGAGGATAAGGACCAGTCTGAACTTGAGGATAAGGATCAGTTTGAACTTGAGGATAAAGATCAGTCTGAACTTGAGGATAAAGATCAGTCTGAACTTGGGGATAAAGATCAGTCTGAACTTGGGGATAAAGATCAGTCTGAACTTGGGGACGAGGGTTGGTCCAAGTTTGAGGGTAAGGTGGGCTTTGGGCTCGATAAAAGGGATCAGTCCGAGCTTGAGGAGGATTGGCTGCAAAAGGATCAGTTTAAATTTGAAGAACAGGACGAGGGCGATGCCCATGTGCAAAGATACCTTTGAAGGAAAAGATAGTCCCGGCAATCCTCTCTGCTAGTGAGCGCTTTGGAGGCTCTCGATGCGGCCTCTGGGGAAGTGGCGCAAGCTCGGCTCCATCCTTGCGAAGCTTCTGCAGCTCTGGGAACGCGCGCACACTATCGTAAGGCGTGCTTCCCACACGGGTGCTATTGATGGCCTGGTCCATGCGGTGATAGAAGCTAGCAGGGTTTGATTGACCAGGGCGTTGTGTGGAGCCGGTGCTCGAGGCTCCTATACCCTTGTCTTGCTCAGGGGCCAAGCCTAAGTATGCGATGCCCGGGTTGTTATTGTCTATATGCGTTAGTCGCATTGTGGTAGCAGGATGCAGAAGTGCGTACTTTGGGTGGCAGAAAGGACAGCACCGGCCTGGGCACCCCCTTTACGCAACGCCGTCTGGGCCCGGTAGAATTGTAGCTGCTCCTGGAGCTCTTCCATCGTCAAGCCCGAGTCCCAAGCCTCGGGGTCATCTGCGCTTGAATGGGATCTGCCGGAGGACAGGGGGCTTAGGTGCGAACCCGCAGGGACACGAGGGTCTTGGTCCGGGGCGTACTTTGCGTGGTGGGCGTCTGGGGTCTCCCGCTCCTCGGGCCCTGCAGGAGCAGAGCCCGAGGCCGGGGCAACCGGGCCCCCGACACCTACCGAGCGTTGGTTACGCAGCAGCGACGGGGAACCTAGGTGCATGCCTTCAGCGGTAGGGGGGTTGTCTGCGACAGCTGGGGGACTCAGAATGTCTGCGACGGCTGGGGGACTCAGGATGTCTGCGACGGCTGGGGGACTCAGGATGTCTGCAACGGCTGGGGGGCTCGGGATGAGCAGGCCCTCGGTGGCGCCGTTCTTGGCAACTGGCGTCGCCAGCTCTGTGGCGGAGGCCGTCTCCCCCTGCGACTTGGAGCTTGGACGGGGAAA